TAGTCATCAATATTTTTTTTTCAGCCCTGGCTGGCCTCAAATTTACAACTCTCCTACACACCTCTAAGTGTTGAGATAATGGGTATACACCACTTTGCCCAGCTTTGTATATTACATTATAATTAAAAAAAAATACATTTGAGATTTTTGGCTAAAAAAAGGTTGTTTGGAAACAGGGTCTTATATGTAGTCTTGGCCAGCCTGGAACTTGCTATGTAACTAAGCTGGCTTTGAACTTAGCAATCTTCCTGCCTCTACTTACCACTGTACCTAGCTCAGACAAAAATTTTTAAAAACCATGACTGAGCAACCACAAGGTCAGTATGGTTGTTTTCTCACTTAATCCTTATCACCACTTGGTAAGTAGCTATAATCCCCATTTTCAACAAAAAAATGGTGATGACTTGCTCAAGGGAAGGATGAGCAGCCTGGGGACACAGTCCCTTTTGAGCAGGAAGCTCTATGAAGCTACTTCACAGACTCAATTGGATATCCTCGGGCGAAACCCTGGACTCTGCACTGGCTGAGCAGGGAAAGCAGACTCACTGGGGGCCTGATTTGTTTCCTTCTTGGGCTTCTTCTCCTGTTCCCGTTTGGAAGCTTTAAGGGCATCATATTCCTTTCGCCGACGCTCCTTCTCCTCCGCCTTCTCCCGTTTCCTCAGTTCCCGCTCCTTTGCTTCTTTAGCTTGCTGCTTGGCCTCACGTTTCTTCTCTGCCTCTATAACAAAATATGCCAAAACATGACTACTCTCACACAAACCCTCCAGCAACTTGCCTGCCCCAAGTGACACAGGTTTCTCTTCCCATAGACACTGGCACTGCAAAAGGATCCAGGTATGGTGGCATATAATCAGGTCTATAATGAGAGCACTGATTGGGGAGCACCTCAGGGTTGGGGAGTTACTGATGGGGGTAGGGGTAGGAAGAAGTAGGTATAGGATTATGTGTTTAAAACCACCTTGGGCTACATAGGGAAAACCTGTCTCAAAGATGTAATTCCAATACTTAGGAGGCGGAGACAGGAGGAGCACTTGCTTGAGGCCACCCTTAGCTACAGTGAGATGAAGGCCATCCTGGGCCAAAGTTTCCCCTAAAAAACATCAAGCTCCTCTCAGGGTTTGCTGAGTCTTATTAAGGGATTTCTGGCTACAAGCAGTAGAGGACTTAGGGTATTAATACAAGGGGAATCTAAGAAAGGCATTGGGTAAGATGGTGAGATGGCTCAGTATCTGCCTCCAAGCCTGATGATGAGTTTGATCCTTGGGACCTACATGGTGAAAGGAATGAACTGACTCCCACAAGCTGTCTTCTCACTTCCACATGTATGCTATGCACTCTAAATAAAATTAATAACTGAAAAAATAAAAGACATGGGTGATAAGTCTGGTATTCGCCTAGAATCAGGTTACTAAATCAGAAGGTGGAGACAACCAGTTTAAGTAGTATACACTTTTCATCCCAGTGTTCAGGAGGCTGAGGATAGGCAGAACATGGGCTCAGGAGTTTTTTGAGATCAACCTGGAAACAGCCCCTACGCATTCCAAAAAAGTACAAAAGGCTAGAGCCTCTAAGAATTCTGCTAAAAAGATATAATGGAGGTGTTGATTTTATGGGATTCCTACTTTCCCCAGCTTCAGAATGAATGTGGAAGCAGGGGGAGGACAAGTGAGAAAATGGGAGCTCTCATGTTTAGGGTTAGAGTCAATGGCAGTGTCTTTCTAAAAAGCCACACCAACAATTTGCTAGAGTTATCTTCTGACTATAACTTGGGAGTCTACGCAACAACATAAGACTTGCTCAGACTGACTCAACAGCTCAAGTGTGTTTACATACAGTACCCAACTTCCAAATGACTGGGTTCTAAAAACGCACTTCCAAATTAGTTATTTAAAAGTCTGAAATACATGTTCTCAAAGCCAGAATACTACAAAATGGTGCTTACATGTCCTTCTGGGGTCTGAAAGTCTAGGTAGGCCATAATGCAGCATGTAAACAAGCTCCATATTCCAGCTACACACAGGAAATGCCAGGAACATGTCAAACTCAGCCTCTAGGGACCTTGTGCTATCAGGAAGTAGAAGCTGCAGGGGTCAGGGTGAATGTGGTGTATCTTGCCATGGTGGCCATGTACACAGCAGGGACAGTTGTAACTCAGGGACTGCCTATAGTCAATACTGTATGTGTCCCTTGGCCTGGTAAGTGAGCTTAGAAGTCAGCTAGCCAGTCAAGAGTTCTACACAGGCACCGCAGTGACATGTGCTAGGGGAAAGCAGTGGAGGTGCTGAGGAGTAACAGGGAGGATGACACGCCAGTGTGGGTGTCCCTAAAAGAGCTAAGACTGAGCTAAGACCACTGTGGAGCATACATGAGAGATCGCAGGAAGCCAGTCACATAGAGGCTGAGGGGTAGGTCCAAGCAACAACAGCTTTGGCTCCCATGGTTAAGTTTTAGTATATGGCTGCCAAAGTCAGCACTCACGGCTAGTTAATGGCAGGGTTGCCTCTGTGTGTGGGGCTACATACAGCCTTGGTCCACAGTGGGCCTGTCAGCCATGTCGCTAACTGAATGTCAGTCTAAATTCAATGGAAAGCCAAAAGACAGTTTTAAGCACACTGTAGCAATACCCGATCTGTATTCTAAAAAGATCCCAGGACTGATGGGTAGAAGATACATTTGTGGAAATGGCACTGTTTCACAGGACAGAGACATTTCAGAGGGTGGTGCTAGAGGAGAAATGGTCACACTGAGGACTAGCTAACAAACTGCCAATTCCAGAAGAAGGAAGGAATCATAAGCATGAGCACCTTTCCTATCTCAGGCTTAAATAATCACAGGGACAGCAATTTTCTACGGAAGGGAAACACTGGGAGGAGTTGAAAGGGGAGATGGGTCTGCTTTAGTCACTTGTTGGGGCTTTTTATTTTTTAATTAATTTTTTTGGTCTTTTTCGAGATAGGGTCTCCCTGTACCCCCAGCTGGCCTGGAACTCACTATGTAGACCAGGATGGCCTTCAACTCAGAGACCTACCTGCCTCTGCCTCCCGAGTGCTGGGATTAACACCTGGCTTATTTTTGTTTTTATTTGTTTGGCTTTTTGCTTTGTCTGTTTATTTTTAGGGTTGCTTTCTGAGACAAGGTTTTGTTTGGTAACCTAATTCACAGTATCCTAGAACTCAGAGTGACCTTCCTGCTTTAACCTCCAGGGTTGCTGGATTATAGGTCTGCACCCCTATGTCCAGCTCCAGCCATGCAAAGGTACCTTTTTACCCTCTGAGCAGAGACAGAGGACAAGCAGTTGTTTGTGACTGTGGAGCTCAGTGGAGAAACCCGGATGGAGAGAGCCGCCAGATAACGAGGATACCATATACCACCATACTACCTAGGCCATGCCACCCTGCTCTTCAGCACCTTCCTATAAACCCCCCGTTCCTGAAGCATGAGACTCTACTGGCTGGGTAAGAACAGGGAAGATGACTAGGTTGGCCACCTACCTCGTTCCACTTCCAGTCGCCGTTGCCGCTCTCGTTCCTGATCTGCCTGCACGGCCTTCATGTGCTGTAACACCTGCAGGGAGAAGAGGGCTCTGAGCTACTCAAGTAGCAGCCTTCACAGCTCATGTTTGCTCAAAAGGTCTCAAAAAAGAGACTGTTCTTTTAAGGATTCTAGATCACCAGAGGGTGGGTTAGAGCTGACTGAAATCATCCTAGTTTTGTATCTTAAGTTACAACCTTCATCACAGAAAGTCACATGAACCTAGCTCACTAAGATTATCAGAAAAAAAAAAACCCTTTCTGTAAAACACAACACCAACTAGAATCCGTGAGTTTTGCCATTCACAATCACTCTCACATGTATGATTTCACACAATCCTCCCAATGCCTCCCGGTTGTCCCTGGGAACAGTCTTCCCTCCATCACATTCTCCTGACCCTCTCCTTCAGCTACTTACCCCTCTTTCCACTCCTGTTCACACAAGACACTGTCATTCTTTCTGGGTATTTGCTGTCGTTGCTGCTTTTGGCTTTCTGAAATAAGGTCTTGTTCTATAGCCCAGACTGGCTTCAAATTTGTGATAATCTTTATAGGTACGAGCCATATACCAGCTGGGACACTAATTCCTTGCCATTTTTCTGTCTGTCATAAGAATGCAGTTTTCTTTAAAGGTAAGTGGCTAAGTGTGGCTAGTTTGAGGCACTGGACATATATGATTGACTGACTGGATTCCCATTACAAAAGGAAGAAAATCAAGACGGCGTGATGTGCTCAGGGCAAGGGGTATAAAGTAGTGCAGCTGAGCAGACGACAGCTTGAAGAGAAAGGCCCAAACATGACCCACTTGTACTTGGCACCAAGTGCTCCAAATTCTCAGCCTTATTCAAGGATGACCTCTGACTAAGAGAGTCACAAATGTTTTCATGAGCAGTTAGGGGAGGCAGCAAAAGACTTTTTTCATTTTTTTTTGCAGAGCTTGCGTACGCCAAGCACATGCTCTACTCAACACACAAGCCCTGTAATTTTTTGAAGCTGGTATTCCTTGGTGTGATGGGACAGAGTGTATTCTCAGAGCCCAATATAATCTGGACTCTTCCACTTTACTATATGGCCTTAGCAAGTGATTCAACCCTTCTGAGCCAATTTTCTGATCTGGAAACAAGAGATAAGATATACATCTCTGGCCTGTAGTGGTGATAAATAACCCAACTTGCATCACCACTTAATCTCCAGCATTACAGGCACTCAATAAATACCACTGCTTTATCAACTCCATCTTTATGGCATGAATGGGAGGGGGATAGAATTTGAACTATTCTAAAGTAAGACAGCAGGAGGGTCTTGTTTTACTTCTGTACTGAAGAACCCCCAGACAGATGTGTATATTCAAACATAACTAATTTCGGACACATACACACTCATCACAAGAGTGATTCAACAGCTGGCTTGCAAAAACTTCTCCCTCACAGAACCTGGTTTGAAGACTCAAGGAACTCTGTCCTGACTATCAACACAGGATGCGAGCCTGCTAGCACCTCTCAAGAGAATCAAATTTTTAAAAATGGCTGCTTACCAAGGCACTCAGGCTCTGGAGGAAGGGCAAGCATAATGGTAAGGACAGCCTGAGTCAAAGTTCCTCCCTCACTCCTAACTGAACACTAAATAAATATGCAGTTGGGCTTAGGGGTTGTCTGGCTGTGTACAAGTCCATTTTACCTTGGCTACAAGGGTCCCAATGAAGAGTTAATTATCTGAAAACAGAGCAGTTCAGAAATGGGAGGGATTACCCTAGGGCAAGGAGTAGATTTTTGTCCTAAAAACTTGACTCATTCTGAGTGGCCCAAGCCACTTGTCTTCAATGCCTAAAGGTGTGCTGCAACTCAGAGGCAGTAGTGCCATGCACTGTGGGTTTTGTTACCACATCCACAATGCACTGCTGCCTGGAGCATGTCTAGAAGAAATGTGTGAGCAGAAGGGGACTTTGTACTCAATAAAAACTACTTTTGTAGCCTACAAACTAAGTATCAAAGGGTCTTAATATAGCACCAGCTGGCCTTGAACTCACTAAGTAGTTGAGGATGACCTTGAACTTCTGATTCTCCTGCCTCTCCTCCCAAGTTCTAGGATTACAGGCCTGCACCACCACACCCACTAATGCTGTCCTAGAGATCTCAAACCTAGGGCTTCTGCATGCCAGATACGCACTTTACCAACTGAACTACATTCCCAGCCCCAAGGGAACAAGTTTTTGGAGTCCAGGTCCTTACAGATCCTAGGAAAGCACTCTATCCCCGAGCCACACATTCCCAGCCCCTATGTGCCATCATTTCATATAGGCCAGCATTATCTGCTTAATGAATGAAGAGATAAATAGTGCATAAGGGCTTCACATATCAGAGAAATGGGAGTAATACCTATTTCCCACGGTCATGAAGACTCTAAGATGCACATATAAAGCATATAGGACAGAGGAAGAGCAACCAGTGGTGGCTACTGTCAAGTCTTCAGAACGGGCATTACTTCAAAACACCAAGTTTTCACAATAGAATTTCACCAGTCATACAAGCTTTGGCTTACATTGTCTTGGCTACTTGGTCATGTTACCTTTGAGCTTGGTTTCTTATAACAATTAAGTACTCCTGGGAGTGAGATTATATAAGCTCTGAGTGGATGATAAGCAAAAAAAATAAAAAACGCCCTTGCTCTTGACATTCACAGTCAAGACCTCTCACACACATTTAACTTACTATAGCAAAGCTAAGGCTGTTTTGTTCACATGGCCTCACACATAGTCCAGTAAGCCACATGGTAATCAGCTGAAGCAGCAGCTATTCCAAAGGCAGAGCTGGAGTTATGGAGAGATGGGCACACTAGTTTTTTTTATTTTTATTTTTATTTTTTTTGTGTGTTTTTGAGACAGGGTCTCCCTGGAGCCCCAGCTGGCCTGGAACTATGTAAACCAGGCTGGCCTTGAAATCATAAAGATCCACCTGCCTATACCTCCCGGGTACTGGGATTAAAGGTCTGCGCCACCGTGCCCAGCAGGCACACTGCTCTTAAAGAGTTAAGATAAGGTATCGTCAAGGTGACTGGCTACCAGAAAGGTATACCAGGTATAATGCCTCTGGTTTCTCACTCCTATGTCAGGACTTGTCTGTCTACAGCTATCAACTATAAATCTTAACACACCCCCCCCAAACAGATTTATTTTGCTGGGCGTGGTAGCACACGCCTTTAGTCCCAGCACTAGGGAGGCAGAGGCAGGCAGATCTCTGCGAGTTAGTTCCAGGGCAGCTGAGGCTACAGGGAGACCCTGTCTCAAAAAGACACACATAAGAAAGATCACTCACTGAACAAGTAATGTATCTATGTGTAGGTATGTGCATATGAGTACACGTGCCCACAGAATTGAAAGGCATCAGAACCTCTGGAGCTGGAGTAACATGTGGTTGTGAGCTGCCTGATATGGGTGTTAGGAACCCAAAATGGGTCTCTGGAAGAACAGTATACACTCTTAACTGCTAAGCCATCTCTCCAGCCCTTTAACATTTATTTTGTGTTGGGGGGTGGGGCACATACATGTGTCACAGAGGCACAACTTTGGAGAAATGGTTCTCTCCCTCCACCATATTGGACCTGGGATAAAACTCAGGTCATCAGGCTTGGTGGCAAACACCTCTACCCATTGTGCTACCCTGCTAGCCTTAAATCTTAACACTTTCACTGGCCAAATTCCTGCTTCAGAAAGGCCATAGCCTCTAACATTCTTGTTCTATTAGAACACTTACTGGTATTGGAGGGATGGTTTAGTTGGTAAAAGAGCTTGCCTAAAAAAGCATTTAGACCTGAGTTCAATCCCCAGTACCCATGTAAAAATGCTGGACATGGTAGTACACGCCTGTAATCCTAGTCCTGGGGAGATGGGAGACAGGATGAGGCTGACTGGTCAGTCAGTCTAGCCTAATTTGTGACCCCCAGGACAACAAGAGACCCCTGTCTCAAAAGAGGTAGATGGTGTTTCTGAGGATAACACCCAGTGTTGTCGTCTGGCCTCCATACATGTCTACATAAATTTAAAACAAAATAAATGAATAAAACAAGTCAATAGTGCCAGATCGGAGTAAGCACGGTTTCTGAAGAAAAGATGCACTAGAGAAGATGGTGTACTTGTAAAATAAACACAGCAGGAGCTGGCGAGATGGCGCCACAGTTAAAAACATGTATTGCTCTTGCACATGCATGGTGCATATAAACTCCCAAGCTCACCATACATATAAACAGATGAATGAATAAATGAATAAATAAATCTTTAAAAATAATGCATAAATGCAGCAACAAAGACCTGTACTTGACAGGCTCATTTCATTGAGACCGTAGTGCTTTAGTAACAGAGCTGTTAATACCCTTGGAGAAGAAACGAGGAGAGAGAGGCAAGTCCCAGGGGAGTATGTGAGGGAGACCCCTGGGAGCTTCATGCTTACCTTGTTTGCACACTGCTTACATTGCTTCTCATCCAAGCAATCGCCTGCCACTTTGGCCAGGACAGGATCCAGGGGATTGTCCTTCAGGTCCAGCCACTTCAGGTTCTAAAGAGATGGGAAAAGAGGCTGGCTAAGCCTGAGTTCACACAGTCCCTTAAAGTGGAGGAAAAAGCTAAAGAAAGCTCTTTTGTGTTCTACTTAAGGGAAGAGCCAGCTGATACGGGGCCAGCAAGGCGGCACTCCTAGGCCCCTTCTCAGGGTTATGCTCCCACAGAGCCTGAACTGTTGGTCACACTTGGTTGTGCAACCCTGGCCTGGTATATAGGTTGTTACCTTGAGCTGAGCAAAGCTGACAGGCAGGGTAACCAGCCTGTTGTTGAGGAGATCCAGATGCTGGAGGTTGACCAGGCGGCCAAAGTCTGCCGGCAGCTGCTGGAGCTTGTTCTTACTGAGGTCCAGCTTCACCAGGTGCGTGAGGCCACAGAAATCCGACTAGGACCCAGAGAAAGAACACTTAGGCCTCAGGCTCACACACTTTGGTGTGATAGTCTGGGACTCCCCAAGTCAAGGTCACCTATGCATAAATCCCGACTCTGCCTCTGCCTTGTGCTAGTTATTCTGCTTCAGTGACAACCGAGAGAATACCCACTACTAGCAATTAGCAAGGTAGGTTTGTATGACAGCTTAACACAAAGTCGGCATAAATGATGTGCATAACCTTCCTTCTTTGTCCTTCCTCTAGTTCATCCTCCAACTGCTACTAGAGTGATAAGGGACCTTGCCTGTCCTCCCATGACACGCTATCTTCATATTTTAGAGGATTTCTCACAGGTCATGGTGATGTGCACCTGTACTTCTACCTATTCGGGAGGTTGGGGCAGCTGGTGGCTAGCCTGGGTAACACAGCAAGACCTCATCAGAGAGAGAGAGAGAGAGAAAGAGAGAGAGAGAGAGAGAGAGAGAGAGAGAGACTGACCGAGGGTATAGCTCAGTGGTAGAACACTTTAGCATGATAAAGGTCCAAAGCTCAATTCTTAGACCCACAGACCAAAAAATAGTATGTATTGTTTGGGGGCTAGAGAGATGGCTCTGCAGTTAAAATCATTTGAAACTCATGCAGAGGACCTGGGTTTGGTTCCCAGTATCCACAAGTGGCTCTGTTGCCCTCTTCTGGCCTCCTGCATACACAACAGGCACACATACACACAGGCAAAACACACAATATAAAATAACAAATCTTTTTTTATAAGTGCATATTCTTGTCTATGAGGTCCTGGGTTCAATCTCTGTACCCTACTCCCAACATCCCCCACAGAAAACAAAAATGCATCTCTACTTTCATAAAAAGAGCCAGTTATTGAGTACTAAGTCTTAGTCTTTGTTAATTTCAGCACCCAGCATAGTACTTTTCACAGGTGCTCATGAGTATTAGAATAAAGTAACTAAATGGCTAGGGCCTATTCTGCTCAAACCAGGCTCTTCTCAGCACAAAACACCACTAACATGCAGCTAAACACCAATCTGAAAGTGACAATACAACTCAATGAGACCTGTTTGTCCTCTCTGGGGACTTGAAAAGGCCAGTGGACCTATGTTCCAGAGTGAAACGAAAGTTGTTAGGATAGACAGCAGAACAGACTCAGACTGAAAAGTACACTTAGGGGTGCTGAGTGACTATGGGGCATAGGGTATAGCAGGTGTGAAGTTGTGAGGAGCTGCTCTTGCTTTAATTAGATACAAAATACCTCCTGGAAAGAAGCCATTTTTAATGAGCTGTGGGAAGACAACACTGTTGACAATAAGTGAGGCCCAGGAGAAAACTGAGAGGAATAGACTAATGATCCAATGAAGAAACTTCTAACTTCTGAACTCCACCCCAGAGACAGAGCCCAATAGGAGGCTACCCTGGGATCCAGCAAGGCATGGCTGGCTGTAGTTATGAATACAAGGGACAATACTGACAGGAAAGGCAGGCCTGATGATGAAGGAGCATCACTACAGAGCAGGTCAGCAGCCACTGCCGAGAGAACGAGAGGCTGAAGGAATCCAGTCCCTACACAGGTGGAACAACAGCTGGGTATGGTGACACACACCTATAATCCCAACACTCAGGAGGCAGAAGGACTGATGTGAACCTAACACAGTGAACTCTGTCTCAACAAAAAGGAGAACTGGAAAAAGTTGTGCAAGAAAAATCAAGGTGAAAGGAAGGATAGGGGAAGAGTGGGAAGGGATGTATATGAGCAAGATGTAAACACACACACACACACCCCAAGCAAAATTAAAAAAAAAAAAAAAATCAAAAGGATTTGATACACATTAGGAATACTGCACCAAAAAAACCCCCAGCAAATCTCAAGTAATTCAAGTCCTTTTTGGAGCGATAAAGGCAGGACAGTCCCACAAAAATCGGTCTTTCTTGTTCCTTATGAGAAGTACATGGAATTCAGCAAGGTGGCTCAGGCATGAAATCTCAGCTCTTGGGAGGCTAACACAAAAGGACTGAGTTTGAGGCCAGCCTGGGTTACAAAGTTTAGACACTCTGAAAACAAGAACAAACAAAACAAGCCAGGCACAGTAGTACACACCTGTAGTCTCAACCAACACTTGAGAGGTGGAGGCAGCAGGATCAGGAATTTCAACACCAGCCTGGGCTACCTAAGATCCTGCCACAAAACAAGATGCATGGGATGGCAGTTTATAATTTTTTCCCAGAATGCAGAGCAACTAACAAAATGGTCTCTACCTCCTTTTCATAAGAGAGGTAAACTACTTTTGTTCAAAAGACTAAAATAAAGCAGAAAAAAAGATGAGGCCAGCAAATGACTCAGCCTGTATCCTGCTGACTTTAGTTTTCTGTGGCCTGACTCTCCTGCTGTTCTAAAGAATGTACCTCTTAGACAAACCACCTCTTCCACTGGTCCCTACCAATACACTCAGATTTAGCTGAAGCCTGTCTGTAAGCCTATCTGAAATTATACCTAATGCCACCCCTCACCCCAGCAGCAGGAAGAACATCCAAAGCTCCAGGACTCAAGGGTCCTAGCCCATCTTACCGGTAGAGTACTCAGTTTGTTGCAAGACAGATCCAGTATGGTGGCCTTTGGAAGTGCAGCCTAGAAAGGGAGATGAGAAAATATGTCAAACTAACACCTGGGATAAGTCAGTGACATCTGCTAATTAAGTACTTTCCAGAGAATGTTCCCACAATTCAGAAAGACCTTTAAAAAATATGGCGGATGGGGGGGGCAAGGGTGGCCTGTGCCTGTAATTCCAGCACTCAGAAAGCTGAGGCAAGAGGATGTCCAGTCAAAGACTAGCCCCAGTTACACAGTAAGACCTTGCATCCAAACAAAAAAAGCAGTATAATGTTCCTGAGGATAAAAAGAAAAAAAAAAAAGTCAGTCAACCAAGGTCTAGGGACGAATGCAAAAGGAGGGTTTTGATATAGAATATCCAAAGGAAGACTGATCCTTCCAAAGCCCCCAGGGCACTTTAAATTTTTCTTCTCCATCACCCCCTTTACTGGGTTTCAGGCCAGGAACAGGGTCTAAAAAAGCTCTGCAATCTGCCACTCCCAGTCAAAGCCCTCCCCAGAGAGCTCAGTACCCACACATGTTGACTGAGCCATGAGTGAATGACCAAGTAAATGAGGGAATGCCAGATGAAATCAAGGCCCTCAAAGCCCATCTCAATTTTCTAATAGTGTCCAGGGCTGGGCAGGCTCTGCAAAACTGTTTTTTGTTTTTTTTCTTCTCCCTAGGGACAATGCTACAATGACCACAGGACTGGAGGAAATGGTTTTAGACAGCATTCCTAGGGCCAGGCTGAAGCAAGGCTGCTCATCTTCCTGGAGTAGAAAAGGAGGCAAACACTCAGTTAAGGACTCTAGGCCAACCAGAACTGTCCAACTGTCAGGAAGTCCAAAGAGTGAAGGCTAACCACCTGAAAAAGCTCTGGCATCACAGTTGGTATCACACCATAACAACAACATTTATTGGTATTTGCTACTTTCCAAGTGTTTTACATTAGGATTTCAGTCCTCCTAAGTGTAGGAGATGGGAACTATTAGCACCATTTTATCAATGAGGAAATCTAGGCACAAAGGTTAGTTAACTTGCCAAGGGCACTCCTCTATTGAGCAAAGGACCTGGGACATGAGCTGGGCCTGTGGTTCTAACCACCATACCATACAGTCACAGGGAAGACTGGGCCAAGGGCAAATGCCTTAAAGTCAGTAAGGTAAGTGTCGGTCATCCAAATATAACCCAACAAGTGGGGTTAGGATAGCAGTGATTTGGAAAACCACAGATGGAGGATCTAGCCCCACATTAGCAACCAACTAGCTGTGTGTTGTCCCTGGGACCTCAGGTTTGGGAAACAGAGGGGTGGAGGGTGGGGCGAGATTCCCGGCAGTTTCAGAGCTGCGGGATAAGGCCTAGCTAGTCTAGCTGGAAGATTTCACTTTTTTCAAGAAAGGCAGCCTCCGGGCTCTGACGGCCAATTGGGATTGGAGGTTTCCTGGGAAAGTCGGGTTCACCGCCACACCCAAGTCTACCAGCAGGCCTACTTCCCCCTGCCAGGTAGGTCATTCATTCATCCTCGAACACATCCAGCAGCCGCTCCCTGGGCTCCCATTAGAGGTTCGACACAGAGCTGGATGCTGTGAAGGCGTCTAAAACTGGGGTAAATTTACTCTTATCCCCTAAAAAGCCCAGGGCCGGGTAGTTAGAGCTTCCCTATCTCTGGAACTGAGCCAAAGTGACACGTGTACATCGCCAGGAGAACACTGGGGCCGGCCGCGACCTCCCCCGGGACTTAGTTTTTAAAGACTGGGAAACTGAGGCTTGGGAGACGAGGCGGCCCACGCAGGGACCGGCGTCAGGAGCCTAGGGGCTCCCGGGCCTCGAGGGATCGTACTGACCAGCTCCTTGACGGGGACCTCATTCAGGTCGCTGAGGCTCAGGTCCAGCTCATTGCCGTCCAGCTTGTCGCGGAGGTTCCCGCCCTTGCTACCGGCCTTGGTCATGATGACGCCGGCCAAGCGGGTCCGGGCTCCCGGGTTCCGACCGGCCGCAGAGAGGGGCCGAGGCCGCTCGTGGACTCACAGGATTCGCACCTAATGGACCACGCCGGCGACCAGGGCTATCGCTGCCGCTGCGAGGCCGCCGCCGCCGCCGCCGCACGCCCGCGCCGCCGCCGCACTCCGAGCCCAGCGCCCAGCTCCCACCGGTGCCGCCGCGACGACGACCACTTCCGTGTCCACGTCACCTTCCGCGGCCACTGAGACGGCTGGGCCAGAGCGGCCCGAACGTGTGCCGGCGCGCCCCCTGGCGCCCAGGCTGGCGAGCTACATGGCGCCGACGCCGGAGAAGTTGGGGTTGCTAGACGTGGCAGTCCCTGTCGTTGCCTGGCTAATGAGGCAAAGGGACTCGATTGGACAATTGGGCCTTAGATGACCTGGGTTCGCATCCAAAGCTAACCTCATCAGATCATCCCTATCTCCTGGATTAGGAGCGAAAGCTGAGTGTCCTTCAAAATTGCTCCCTGGCCGGGGTTGGGGGCTCAGCCTTTAATCCCAGCACTTGGGAGGCAGAGGCAGGTAGGTGGATCTCTGTGATCCACCTGCTTGGTCTACACATCGAGTTTCAGGCCAGCTGGGACTACAGGGAGACAGACCATGTCTCAATCAAAAAGCAAAATAAAACCAAAACCAAAACCAAACAAAAAGCCAGAATTGCTGCCTGAACTCTACTTAACCTGTGACTACAGACTTCCTGGATTTCTCTCCTCACTGTTTTAGCCCTCATCTCCTTTCCGCCTTCACACTGTTCCCTGGATGACTTTTCGAGAAATCTGGGAAACTCTTCCCTCTGCTTAAAGTCCTCCAAACTTCCAACTATCTATAGGATAGGGATCAGCCACCCACCCTTCCCTCCCTCCCTAGCAGTCAGACTGACCCCTCAGCAGTCAACAGGTCCAGAACCTTCTGTGTTCCTTCCTTCCTTCCTTCCTTCCTTCCTTTCCTTCTTTTTTGAGACAGGATTCCATGTAGTCCAGATTGTTCACAAATTCCCCATGTAGCTGAAGATGACCTTGACTTCTAGATCCTCCTACCTCTGACAGGACTGCAGGGATTATATGCATGTGTTACCAATCTTCCTATTTTTCTTTCTAGACTGGGTCCTACCCATTCTGCAGCCTCATCACCAGCCTCATCACCATCCCTGCCTGTCCTTCAAGCTATATGGACTTCCTTTAAGTGCCTCGCACACTTTTCTTTCTCCTGCCGTGGCCCTGCCTTCCCCCACTCCATCTTTTCTTCTTGGCTAGCTCTTTTGATCAATCTTCTCTGTCCACCTGAACACCAGACTGAGGGTGTGTGTGTGTGTGTGTGTGTGTGTGTGTGTTTTGGCAATGCCAGAGGTGTGTCCCTTATTATCAGTCATGGTAGAGCCTTGTGGCTAAATGGAACCTCTGACACTACAACTAGGTATTAATCCTGATCCTGCCACCTGCTGCCTATGAAACTTTAGGTAATCACTGTATTAGCCATATCTATGGATCTGTGAAGAATGTAAAAGTATGGAGCTGACAGTTTGGGGACAACTGATTGAGTAAAGCACACAAGGGGCTTACAAAAGTGACTGGTACTTAGCATATACCAGTAAATACTAGCTATAGTTCATGATCCCCTTGTTACACTTTGTTTCTATCCTCCACTGTGGACTCTAAGAGCAGAGATTCATGTCTTAATCAACTGTCTACCCCTAACCTTTGAATGTGTCTCTATTAGAACTTTTCAAGTGACTGTAGCAAAATACCTGACACAAACAACTTAGGGAAGGATGGGTTTGTTCTGGCTCACAGTGTGCAGGTGCAGTCCCTCATGGTGGGAAAGGCATAGAACAGCTTTAGCTGTGGCAGCAGGAACATGAGGCAGCTGGGCACAATGCATCCTTGGTCAGGAAACAGAAAGGAATGCTGGTGTTCAGCTTACTTATTATTCTGTCTGGGACCCCTGCCATGGGATGATACCACCCATGCTCAGGTCTTCCCTCCTTAGTTAACAGCTCTGGAAATACCCTCACAGACACACCCAGAGGTGTGTGTTTTAGGATTTCAAATCCTGACAAGTTGACACTAAAGATTAACTATCACTGTGTTTCAGTGGAAGTTGCTCCTTCAAATTTCTGTTGAAAAGTCAGCTATCATGACTTTAGCATGCCTGTAATTCCAGCACTTGAGAGGCAGAGGCAAGAGGCTTGTCACAAGTTAGAAGCCAGCCTGGTCTATATAGCACGTTCTAGGCAAAACAGGGCTACATAGCAGACCTTGTCTTTAAAAAGGGGAGGGTGGCAGAGAGATGGTTCAGTGAGTAAAGGCACTTGCCACCAAGCCTGATGACCTGTGTTCAATGTCTGGGATTCACATGGTAGGAGGAGAGAACCAATTCCCAAAAGTTGTTCTCTGACCTCCATCCATGTGCCATGGAATGCACAGGTGTGCATACACATACACACAATAACTAAAAATATAATTTCAAAACAAAACAAGAAGCAAGTTTCTGTTGAATGAATGAATAAAGCACATTTATGACTACAAACCTCAGTTTGCTCCTTTTTTTGTTGTATGTATATGTGTGGTGTCCATGCATGAATGTGTGTTTGTACATGTGTGTGGCTGCACAGCTGCACGTGCACATGTGTGGACATGAGTGGAGGCCCAAGGTTGACATCTGGTGTCTTGGTGTCTTCTTTGATCACTCACCTTATTCATCTGATATATTGGGGCGGGTCTCTTACTGAACCCAGAGTTCACTGCCTCAGCTAGTCTGGCTAGTTGGCTTGTTCTGGGGATCTCCAGTTTCTGCCCCCCACACCGTGGGATTACAGGCTGGCTGCCCTGTCTACCAGACTTTATGTGAGTTCTGGTGGACCCAAACTTTGGTCCTCATGCTTGCTTGCAAAGTGCTTTACCTGCTGAGTCATTTCCCTTGCCCAATTTGCTCATTTTTGAACTGGGAATTTTAAACTTACCTGGGGATAGGGATGTAGCTCACTTGGCAGAGTGCTTGCCTAGGATGTGTGAAATCCTGGCTTGGATCCCCGGCATCACATAAACCAAGTATGGTGTCACATGCCTGTAATCCCAGCACTTGGGAGGTAGAGGCAGGAAGATCAGCAGTTTAGGGCCATACTCGGCTGCTTAGGGAGTTAGAGACCAGCCTGGAATACGTAAGCTCCTGCCTCAAAAAGCAAATAAAAGACCACAGTGGGTAGGGCTGCTTTCTGCCAAAACTGATGACCTGAGTTCAATTCCTGGGACCCACATGGTAGAAGAGAACTAATTCCTTCATGTTGTCCCCTAGCCTCCACACACATGCCATGAAACAGCACACACACACACACACACACACACACACACACACACACACACAAATTTAAAATTAAAAGAAAGGAGATAATGAGATGGCTCAGTGGTTAAGACCACTGGCTGCTCTTGCAGAGGACTTGGGTTCCCAGCCCCCACATGACTCCAGTTCCAGGGTTCCTGTCACCCTCCTCTGGCCTCCAGGGGCATTGCATGCACATGCAGGCTAAACATTCAGACACATTAAAAATAGGGATAGGGAGATGGCTCAGCAGTTAAGAACACTTGCTGTTCTTTCAGAGGATGAAAGTTTGAGTCCCAGCACTCACAAGGCAGCTAACAACTGTTTGGTACTCCAGTTCTACGGAATCTGACACCCTCTTCTGGCTTCTGTGGGCATTGCACACACTTGGTGCACTTTCATACATGCAGAAAAAACACTCATACATATAGTAAAAAATAATAGGGGCTGGAGAGATAGCTCAGCGGTTAAGAGCACTGTTCTTGCAGAAGACCTGGGTTCTAATCCCAGCACCCACATGGCAGCTAACAACTGTCTGTAGCTCCAGTTCCAGGGGATCCAACAGTCTCTTCTGTCCTCTGCAGGCATTGCACAACACGGGAGCACTTACCTACATGCGGGCAATACACACATACACCTAAAATAAAAATAATAAATAAAATATTAAAAATAAATAAATTAGAAGGGCTGGAGAGATGGCTCAACGGTTAAGAACACTGGATGTTTTTGCAGAAGACCCGGGTATGAATCCCAGCACCCACATGGCAGCTAACAACTGTCTGTAACTCCAGTTCCAGAGGATCCAACAGCCTCTTCTGACTTCCACAGACATTGCATGACACGGGCGCATTTACCTACATGCAGGCAATACATGCATACACATGAAAAAATAAAATAATAAAATAAATTATTTTAAAAAAAAATAAAATAAAAAATAAAAATAAATAAAACTTACCTTGGGGAACTGAAAATTAAGTAGTCAGTGGAATCACCTATTCATATAACAAATCTTGTTGCATTCCTCTCCCACCCCAGCAAGACAGTATACCAGGAATCTGGGAAGCAGAAAGGGCAACTAGGTAAATAAATATACGTGAGCAGTTGGTGGTCCATAAGTTATGAAGAATCATCATCTTTATGATGGATGTGAGGAGTCTATGAAATACATTTCATTGTGATCCTGTGCCTAGCTCCTGGATGAAAAGTACCTGTCCTCAGTTGGAACTTTTAATTTTAAATTTTGTTTCTTTTCACTGGGCATGGTAGCACACGCCTTTACTCCCAGCACTCGGGAGGCAGAGGCAGACGGATCCCTGTGAGTTCAAGGCCAGCCTGGTCTACATAGTGAGTTCCAGGACAGCTGGGGCTACAGGGAGACCCTGTCTCAAAAAGACCAAAAAAAAAGATTTTTTTTGGTTCTTTTCACTGTATTCTGTTTTTCCTACCCCAAAGGAAGCTACAGTACACAAATAATTATCACATATGAAGCTTGCCATTTGGGGGCTGTGTCTCCATCCTCCAGTTTGTGTTAGGGCCAAGAGGTGTTACAGTAAAATATGATATCCCCTTTTCTAAGGTTATCTGGGGCAATTTGTTGCATGGAATGGAAGAGGAGTTCTCCATGATGAGCTGTGAGGGAGAGGAATGGAGAATTTTTGATCTTCCCCCCCACCCAGCATCTTTCTAGAAGAGAAGAGCAGGGTAGAATGGAAGATTCCAGGGCCATCCCCATTTGGAATCTTTCCTTAGAATAGATGTTTCCAGCCTTAGCTTTAGGCAGACATCATGATCCTGCTTTTGTTTCCTTTGCCTTTGAACAGAATTTCTCCATAATCTATATCTGCTTTCTCGTTGGAGCATTTCTGGGTGTCGAGAGTGACTT